GTAGACGAAGAGTGTCGTAGTCTATTTTGAGACGGCATTTACAAATGTCCAATCAGAACTGTGGGGATAAATTAGGGATCCCAGAAATAGTTAGTCTGTTGAAGGTTTTAGTTATTTTAGTGTCTTGCATATACTTTATAAATACTTGGTTCCTTCTCTTTAATGCTTACAACCCTAAGCTAAATTGGCTCAGTGGATACAAAGTCTCTCCCCTGGTTGTGACAGTGTGATCAGGAAAATTTGAAAATCGGGATCGTAGGTGTAATCGGAACATTTAACATCATGACAGACCAAAATTTGATTAATCGAAAGAGAAAAAGAATGGTTGCATAAGCGTAATATATAAAGTCTATTGAATAATTTAAATAAATGCTTATAATTGAAGGTATGGAGGATTTGATCGATCTTGGAAGGATGAGAAAAGTACTCCTCCAAATAAAGAAATAAATGTAATAAAATTATCGTCAGTATTAAACGGTCCAAGTTCTCATAAACTTGCTATTACTATAAGTGCAAGTATACCCATTACTACAAGTGCAATAGATCTAATCATTACTATAAAAATTATCCGTTTTTGAAGGTGTCTGTTATATACCTCGAATTTTTATAAAAAAACGAAATCTTTTCGTAGTTGTTATGTATAGCTACAGTAGCTTTCTTTTTTATTAATTAACAAGAAATTACTTATATTAATTAAAAAGAAATTACTTATATTAATTAACAAGAAATTATTTATATTAATTAACAAGAAATTACTTATATTAATTAACAAGAAATTATTTATATTAATTAACAAGAAATTACTTATATTAATAATTAACATGAAATTATTTATATTACTTAACATGAAATTATTTATTTCATCTTTATATCAAAATTAAATAAGTTAGCTAACTATCAAATTTATTAAAATGTAAAATACTAGATTTATTTGAGTTACTATTTCAAAACTCATTAATAATTATACTATTTTAGATGCGGGAGCAAGTCCAATCGTAAAATCTTTTATGTTATAGACTGAGTAAACTTCTTTGAGAAATGGAACTCCAATAAGCAAAGTATGATCATCAACTTCTCCACTTTGAACTGTAGAAATACAAGTACGTAAATCATTACGCTTCCCGGCGATCGGGTTTGAATGATAATTGATTCCATTAAATATATATTCTACTCTATCAGTTGTTTTACAGGGCACAGTATATCTACACCCAATATCAATACAAATCTTGTTTGTTCCGTTAATTAAATTATGATAGGCCTCAGCATTACCAGATGACATAAATACGAAATCTGAGGAAGGATCAAATGCTGCAAATTTTATCTTGTATTTAAGTTTTTTACCATTAATAGAAATGTCGTCCATATTAGTCATCCAATACACGTATCTACCATTAATGGTAGATACTTTGTTGTAACTAAGTTTTCCGGTGAATTTAGTTGTGTCAATGTCGCCAAGAGTTAAT